ACCAGCGGCCCCACCTGGGAGACACACAGGGGTCGTTCTGCACCAGCGGCCCCACCTGGGAGACACACAGGGGTCGTTCTGCACCAGCGGCCCCAGCTGGGAGACACGCGCAGCCCCGCCGCACACAGACCGGGGGCCGGAGCAGCTGCTGGGGCGGCGAGGGTCCTGAGCTGCACTCACATGCGGATGGCCTCCAGCAGGTGTCTCTGCCGCTGCCGGTTCTCCAGGCCCTGCCTCTTGCTGCGGTTGCTCCGGTGCAGCAGCCAGCACTCCCTCAGCACGTTCGCCGCCGCCACCTGGATCTGCGGGGAGACAGCGAGCCGTCAGCGCGGGCCGGGCCGGCGGGAGGGGGCGAGTTCGGCCAGCCGGTTTCCCAGGCGATCGCTGGGGCAGCAGCGCCCTCACTGACCCCCCTTCCTGCGGTGAATTAGCAGCAGCAGTGGCAGGAGGGGGAGGAGGAGTAGCAGCAGTGTAGTAGCAGCAGTGGTAGTAGTGTAGTAGTAGCAGTAGTGTAGTAGTAGCAGTAGTGTAGTAGTAGCAGTAGTGTTGTAGCAGCAGTAGTATGAGTAGTAGCAGTAGTGTAGTAGTAGCAGTGGCAGTAGTGTAGTAGCAGTATCAGTATCTATCAGTAGCTGAAGCAGCAGTAATAATAATCAGTGTTATTGTTTCCACTGTTTCTGACAGAGCGCTGGCCAGCACACACACACCCACACACACACACACACCCCTGGTCAGGACTCGAGCTCCTGCTGGGCCCAGCCGGTCAGCGGCGTGACCCGGGTTCGAGCGTGCGCGTGCCCAGGGAGCGGTTTGTGTGGTGAGTGTCAGGCGGAGGTGGGGGGGGTCTTCCTGTCTTCCCGTCACAAGGACAGGCGGCGGCGAGGGGAAACGAGCCGCGTCACCTTCCTCGATGGCCGTGAGGGGGCCGAAAATAACCGGACAGTGACGGCCCTTTCGCTCTCTTCCTTCGCTTCCATCCTGCTCCCAGAGAAACGAGCAGGTGGATCCTGTGGGTTTGGGCCACACGATCCGCGCCCCCCCCGGCCCGCCCCGCGCGCGATGAACACGCACACACTCTCGTTCTGTTTCCTCTCCCTGCCCCAGCCTCTAAACAACGGGCCAGTTTCCTGAGACAGAAACGATTGTTTCCTCCCTTTAACGCCTCTGCAAGGGCTAAATATATATCTAAAGACATCTCCTTCTGGAGCCTTCTCCCGTTTCCCACAGCACTCCTCTCTGTGCCCTGGCGCTCCGGTATTTACAAGGAAAGAAACAAAGGAGCAGCCGCCTTCCGACACAAATCCGCGTGGCCCGGTGTTTGGAAAATATTACGCCCGGGAGCGAGGATGCTGACAGCACTTGTCGTGCCAGAGAGGAAGAGAGGGACAGGGGGAGGAGATTGCGTAACTCCTGCTCCTTATTTCTTCGATCTTCGCTCGCTTGAAATGTTTACAAGCCTTTTTCCTGTAACAACGGTCAACTGTCTTGCTTTCTCCTGCTAGGTGACGCAGTGTTTTGATTTTGGTGGAAAGGGGCATTGAGGGCAGAGGCTTTGCAGGCTGGCTGTACTCCTGAGATTTAATATGGGAGAGGTTGAAAGAGATGTTCAGGATAGTTTCTTTTTGTGGAGCCTCAGTCTCACAACAGGTAGTAGTAAGAGGACAGCTGGTCCAGTGGTTCAGGTCCAGTCCTGTTACACCAAGAGGACAGCTGGTCCAGTGGTTCATGTCCAGTCCTGTTACACCAGGAGGACAATTGGTCCAGTGGTTCAGGTCCAGTCCTGTTACACCAGGAGGACAGCTGGTCCAGTGGTTCAGGTCCAGTCCTGTTACACCAGGAGGACAGCTGGTCCAGTGGTTCAGGTCCAGTCTTGTTACACCAGAAGGACAATTGTGATTAAAGTACTGTACTTGGTAAGTACTGGAGATTTCAAACAAACATTTATGGCACATTATAGATGATGAAAATATTATTTTAAAAGGTTAACTAATTTAGTCTGTAACAACTGTTAGTAACTGAGAGCGCAGCTCGTGTAAGAAGCAGGACTGGGAAGCCCCGATCCCGCGGGATGGTGACCATGCTGCCTTACCTCCTTGGAGACCTGGATGTCCAGCATGAACTGATGGACGTGTTTCTCCCCTTTGTTCAGAGACAGTTTCTTCGTCAGCACTGCCACCAGCATGGCTGTGCAGCCCACGCCCTGCAAGCACAGCAGACACCGTGTCAGCGTCCTCATCACAGGCAGCAACGTCTGCATCTTCACCTTCACTAACATCATCACTGAAATCAGCACCATCGGCATCGCCAATTTCACAATCTTCACCATCATCACCAATTAATAAATATAATCATTTTCACCAATAACATCAACGTCATCATGACCAACACTAATATCCTCATAAACATCAATATCTTCACCTTCATTAACATCATCATCATAAAAACAATCTTCATCCACAACGTGGATATTGCCATCTTCATTAACATCATCATCATGATCGCCCACAACAAAATCAACATCAACACTGACACCATCATCACGATTTTAGTGTTCCCTGTCAAACACCAAACTCCCAAACAACGAAGTTATCCAAGTTTCCTCCAGGTAACCTCTTTCTGGGTGACCGTCTGAGTCAGGCCCTTCATGACGAAGTCAAGGCCAGTGGTTGTTGTTTTGGGGAGATTGTGGCTGTGAATTACCCCTATTTTCCCCCTGCTCCCAGTTTTAGGTTCTGTGTCTGCCCCTGTTTAAGGTGCACCAGATGCAACACTAAGGGAGACTTGCCTTCAGTTGTTAATCTGCTAGCATCATGGCCTTGCTGAGCTGTCTTTAGAAGACCACTCACCTGCCTGCATTCAGGGCTGTGGTTATTGATTTGATTTTATTTGAACTCAGTTCCTAATGACCTCAGCTCAGCTCTTATTCGGGCAGATTTAACAGTTTCTCTGTGCTGGAGATGTGAATCCAGTGCTCTGGATCCCTGGCTGGGCAAAAACACTGTCTGCTGGTTTTCATGTCAAATAAACTCCGAATCCCCCCTGCTATGATCACTTTGATTGATCTGCTTTCACTTTCCTTGTCGCTTTGGTAACCATTTTTCTGCACTTATTTCTGAATTTTTGAGGCGGCTCACACAGACCAGTTCTCCAGGAACAGCCCAGGACAGCCCAGCACTAGCAGCAGGTATCATCAAAATGCCAACAATGGTGATTCTTATCAAACCGTGACTTAAAGATGAAGTCTTGCAACAAAGAGCTGTTTTGATATGGCATCGAAGTCACGACCTTGATTTTGAAATAAACAAGTGGAAATAAGTGCCAAGTGAGAACCGCCAATCACGGTGACTTCGCACAAAGCACAGGCAGAGGTATCGGCCAGGCGAAGAGCCGACCTGTCTGATCGTCCGCTATCGGTGCGGCAGGATTGCTGAGCAGCTGCTCTTGCTGTTCGGACCTGAAACCACTCCCTTTTCTGCCCTGGCCTCTGTCCAAAGGAGACTCAGCAGACACACCCCTGGGCCCTAAAGGCACATCTTACACTAACAGGCTCTGGGAACTGAGTCATTGTGCCCTGAATCAGATTGCTCATAATTAAGGGTGTTCACCCCCATATCCATGTCTGGTCTCCCTGACGATGCCCCCTGCTTCCAACTGGTTACACCCTGTCTTACTCTGCCTGATTGATAATCCATTTCCTGAGCTACTGCATAGGAATTCAAATCCCTCAAAAGTGTACTGACAAAATGGACTATGGACTATGTACCAATGGACTTTTTCAGAACCAACAGTGAAACGCGAACCAGGTGACAGGCGTGGAAGCTCAGGCGAAGAGCATTCATAGCTGAGAACAGGGGGGCACTTCTTTACACAAAGAGTGGCAGGGGACTGGAGTGAGCTGCCCAGTCCTCGTGTTGAAACACATATTCCTAGTCAATATTTTCAAAAGCGCACTGGGACAGACCTGGTTACCCAGGTCCAGACGGACACAGAAACAGGGTGAGAGCTTTTAGCCTGGATTAAATCAAAGCTTTGGCAGACCGACACCACCAACAGCGAAATTCCAAGCCTGGGAATAGAGTTTGCGTCTGTTGGTGGCTTCCTTTCTAGATCCAGTGGAAACCTGGATAGCAAAAAACAGCTGGTTCGGACTTTTTTCCCCACAGGAGGGTGGGTCGGAATTCTGACTGAATTCCTGTCGTTTTTCCCAGGCAGTGTGACTGGCTTCTACCTGTCCTCCGAACGCAGGCCGGGGGGCTGCGGGGGGGCAGAGGGAGGATGTGAGCAGGAGGAAACAGCAAGCCCGACCCATGCCTGGCCAGGCCACACCACGCCCGTGCCCCGCCCTTCCTCCTGTCGAGAGCGGCGCTGAGCCAGAAACCGGGCTCGAGCGGTCCTGTCGCACTCGCAGATCTGCCGGACCCCCCCCCGACCGTGCTGAGCGATCGTGGCGCCTCGCAGGCGGGACCAGAGGAGCCCTCTCAGCCCGCCGGGCCCCTTCGGGCGCTGAGGATCTCACCCAGCTGTTACTGGAAAGAAACCAGGGCACCACTCCCTCACTGAGACCTGGCGTGTGCAGTGTTGGGGTTCCCTCGCCGGGTGTGTGCAGTGTTGGGGTTCCCTCGCCTGGTGTGTGCAGTGTTGGGGTTCCCTCGCCGGGTGTGTGCAGTGTTGGGGTGACCCCACTTAGGTCTGTCTTACCCAATAATGGGGTTCACAGCCCCCTCAGGGGAGTCCGCTACACCATGTGGGGGTTTCCTCAGTGGAGTCTGCTGTACCCAGTGTTGGGGTTCACAGCTCCCTCAGTGGGGTCTGCTGTACTCACAGCTCCCCTTGTCAAGGGGACAGCAAGCACAGTCCCCCCGATTCTCTCAGACTGGAAGCTGGGGGACTGCAGCACTTCGCCAGCCTGGGGGAGCTGTGGACCGGCGGACCTGCGGGCTGAGGAGGGGGCGTCTCACCATGACGCCCGTGAAGAGGCACACCGCCCGGCCGCAGGTCGTCTTTGGGGACAGGTCCCCGTAACCCACGGTGAGGAAGGTGATGGCGACGAGCCAGAGAGCGTTGTCCATCCTGCCCGTTTCCTCGCGGATCTGCCTGCAGGACAACACCAGTTAGAACACTACAGGGAGCAGAGCATGGTAAAAGCCCACTGAGATCAGGGTGAAGCACAGTACAGTGCAATAAAGCCCACTGAGATCAGGGTACAAGTACAGTGCAGTGGAGTAAATCAGTGAGATCAGGGTGAACGTCACGCGCAGTGCAGTAAATCACAGAGAGATCATGGTAAAAGTACTGTACAGTGCAGTAAGGCCCAGGGAGATCCAGGACAGAGCAGGAGAAGTGAGCAGGTTCACTCACCTCTCGCACAGCGTGAGCAGCCAGGAGGCGGAGAGCCAGAGGAAGAGGATGAAGAAGAGCAGGGTGCGGGCGGGGTAGGTGTTCATCAGCACCTTCAGCACGAAGCGGAAGGTGAAGTTGATGTTGTTGAGGGAGCCGATGCTCCTGTAGGAGGCGCTCAGGAGCACCTTGCTGTGCAGCAGGATGGCGCGGTGCACCAGGTAGAGCCGCAGGAACATGAGGCAGGACAGCAGCAGCTCCAGGTCCAGCAGCGCGTCCTGGGGGCCACTCGCCGAGCACAGCGGGGCCGACGAGAAGTTCCCCTCCTCCAGCCCCACCGCCCCCCCGCCCCCCGAGCCCACGCCCAGAGCCCCCGGCAGGGGGTGCACGGCGCAGACGGCCAGCTCCAGGGCGATGACCAGCACCCGCTGGGTCGTCATGGCGATGCGCCAGTCTTCCAGGTTGTGGTCAATCATGAAGAGCTGCAGGGAGAGAGTGAGAGAGAGTGAGAGAGAAGGAGAAAGAGTGAGAGAGTGTGAGAGATTGGGGGTACAGGAGGAATGAGGCTGCAGGGGCTCAGGAGGGAGGAAGACAGTGAGAGCTGGGGTGCAGAGAGAGTGTGCTCTTCTGCTGGGACAGGTGGCCATGTCTGAGCGAGAGAGTGGGAGCAGGCAGGCAGACAGACAGACAGACAGACAAACGGACACGCTCCCACCGAGCGGACCCGAGCACACCCCCTGGAGTCCGGCCCGGTTTCGCCATCCGAGCTCCCTGGCAAGCTCCCCCGCGGGGGGATCAGGTGGAAGGGTGGTCAATGAGCTGCCAGCTGCTCCAGCACTGCGGTACAGCCCAGTGA